GCATAAAATACGATGAGCACCAATGGCATATTTGTGGCGATTTGAAAGTTGTTGCACTTTTACTTGGGCTGCAGCTAGGCTACACAAAGTTTTGCTGTTTTTTGTGTGAATGGGACAGTTGGACAAAGGCACTTCATTACACCAGACAAAACTGGCCTGTTCGTCAATTCCTAGAGCCAGGTCAAAAAAATGTACAGCATATGCCATTAGTAGATTCGAAAAAAAATGTATTACCACCACTTCATATCAAGTTGGGCCTAATGAAAAACTTTGTCAAGGCATTAGATAGAGATGGGTCAGCTTTTCAATACCTGCGTCAGAAATTTCCAAGACTAAGTGAGGCAAAGGTTAAAGAAGGTATTTTTTGGGCCACAGATTCGAAATATTTTGAAAGATACACAGTTTGAAAACACTTTAACAGGTATTGAAAAAACTGCTTGGAATGATTTCCGTCTGATGGTCACTAATTTCTTGGGAAATAGAAAAGCTGACAACTATAAAACCCTTGTCAAAAATATGCAGTCATCGTATCAAAAGATGGGCTGTAATATGTCTCTTAAGATACATTTCCTACACTCACACCTGGACTTTTTTCCTGACAATTGCGGAGCCGTAAGTGATGAGCACGGCGAACGTTTCCATCAGGATATTTCAACAATGGAAAAAAGGTACCAGGGAAAGTGGAATCCTTCCATGCTTGCAGACTACTGTTGGACTCTTGGTAGAGATGCTCCAGAAACGATCCATAAAAGAACAGCAAAAAGACAGCGCATATAGTGATTCTTATAAGTATATGAATCTTGTTACTTTTTTTAATATATCCTTAAAAATAAAAAGTTTTTTTCTAAACCGCAACTAATTTTTTTATTTCATTGTCATTTTTGGATTCAGCGCCCCAAAATTAAGAAAGAAGTGCACTTTTCCAACAAGATACAATTAAAAAACCAAAATTTGTTGTCCAGTGTAATTTTTCACCAGATATAGAAAGCAGTCGAATTCTATATCTTGTTTTGAATCGTTGTACGAACCTCCAAATGTATTGCCCGTTCTTTGTAAAATTTGAGTTTTCATACGCTTAATTTTACAGATTGTTGCTTTCGATACTCCATATTTTTTTGCTAACTGTGTCACTCCCGCACCTAGTGCAACTTCGTCTATGATTTTCACTTTCTCACTCAACTTTGAACGCTTTCTTTTATAGGATGTGGATGCCATAGTCGTAAAATATATTAACGCGTGCAATGTATTCACTTAAGTTCAAAAATGAAATACATACGTACGTATAAACGTATCCTAAACGATCATACGACTGACCGAGTTTGTCGTATTTTATCGCAGAGGTGAATCCCCTACACTCTACATCATAAATCGGGGACTCCCCGACGCCCGACATAAATCATCGAGGCTTCAGCATTTTACCGTCGCGCTGTTTCCGTGCGCCGAGAGTTGTTTACGTTATCGAGCGTACACATTGTTTACGTTATCGCGCGTTCCGTTTGATCCTATAGAACGAAGTTTGTGTTTACATTAGCGCAAGTTTTCATTATCCCGTGTTTACGTTATCGAGCGTCTGCTGTAATATTATGTCTTTGTGCTTTAGAATTAGGATAAGTTTCATAGAATTTCAAATGTGTATCATTTCAGAAAAGGCTTCAGTTATTTAAGTGGGACCAATGGGAATGCGGCAAATAATAGGTCGATTTTCTAGCTATAATATTTGGTAGGATGTTTTCACTGTTTTTGACGACTGTTCATGCATGGCAATCTAGTTTTGTCTGTATATCACGTACATGGTGTTGTACAGATTTTTTTTATTTTGCAAAAAAAAAATGATATAAAACGTATTACAACTGGTTCATCATCTTTTGTTACATCAACAAAATTTTGAGTTATCAAAAAATAGCGTACCATCAATTTTTATACTATTTACATTTTAACTATTTATATTATTTTTGATAAACTATACATATTTATAATTATAATACAATTTTAATAGCTTTTTTGCTTCTTTGAAGGACAATCCGTTGGAAACGTGATTAAAAACCAAATGTTAAGCAGGAACCACTCGTAATAATGCAAGATCATTAAAGCAACATTGTAATTCTAATTTTACAACACGTCGTTTCAGAGATTATTTCCTACGCTTGTTGAGTAACAATAAGGCCGCTGATTGATGGTACGTTGATATGTTAATATTTACTATTTGCAGATAGAGATAATGCCATCCGGTTTTTGCTAATTCATAATTATTCGCTAAAGTCGTATACTTACTGCTTGTATACATAGTCGTAATAAAATCATCGTTTTTTAGATGTTATATTATTCATTTCCGTCGTCTGTCCAGCAACCCTTACCTGCTGAATAACACGAAAAGGAACAACCTGTTTTTGATAAAATTTTGCCTAAAGGTTTTAAGGTTAAGATTGAAAAAGCTATATATAGTCTAATTATATTAGCAAATTTCTCTGAAATAATTGTAAAGTCTGGTTTTATTGATGCAAGTTGTTCAAAGGGGCTTATTCGACAACAAAAAATGAGAAAACGTGTTTTTTGGAACCCAATCAAAAGTGTTGACAGGAACGAGAAAACTCTTCAAATAAGATTTTTAGGTTTTTATAAGACCTACAGAATGAGATCACACGTAAAAAGATCCCACTAATAGTAAAAAAGTTATGCGTGCATGTTTTATACAGGACTTCGAAGTTGAGTCATTTATTTTAACAGTGAGTAGATCTGATCAAAAGAAATGTTTTTTTCCTTTACCATTTTTCTGGTAAAATTAAAGTAACAAAGTTATAGCCCTTTGGAAGTTTGAGTACCGCCCTGTCTCAATAATAATATTATGTGCTCGTGTTTGGCGACAACGGATATAATCCGGCGTATCGGTTCATCGCATCGGAAACAAAAAAGCGAAAGAATTTGGAACGATGTTTTTACAATTATTTTATTCATTTGTATACAGTCAGTGTCAGTGAATAGTGGTGTCTGTTGCGTGGCTCAAACGAAATAAAAAATGGCACATGTTTATGCGGATCGGTTTCCCAATCGAGTGCAACCAACCCCTCGTGCCTTTGTTAATGTAGTACAACGGGCTCGTGAATCAGGTGACGGCATGCCGGTGCTCCAAGACCTCACGATCAAATACAGGTCCGCACTGATATACTTGTCGGGAGGGTACTTTATAAAACAAGGTAAACATTTTTTTTTTATTTTTACACACATATTTTGGTTTATCTTCCTTCTACAATCATTATCTGAAAATTAATGACTCAACTTCAAAGTCACCCTGTATAACAGACACGGAATAACAAACCGACAAACAGAATACTTGCGAAGATTATCGCGAGTTCAATACTTATATCGTTTAGGTTTAGGTGGTAATAGACTTTGAAAATTGATCCAGTGGCGGTGGAATTACAGACATATTATATAAAAATCGCTGGAACATACGAGCCCCTTCCAAATTCAGTTGGCCCAACTATTGAAAACTTAGTTTTTTTCTTATCAAACACAATAAAAATGTAGGGTGTTATAGGTTTAAAATATTAACAATGAATATTTTGATAATATATAGTAGAAAACACCAACTTTATCACTCCCTAATCAAAATTGCAGCATAAAAATAACACATGTTGCAATTACAGCATATCAACCTATTTTCATTTCAATGCAAGATAAGTCTATAACGCATAGGTGGCTGTGAAAAATAAAAGCCATGACAATTGTTTTTATTAATCACAGCTGTCAGAATACGTTTAAAATAGTTTTGGGTAGTTAAGGTTTTGAAAATAGGTAGAAGAAAGGTTATTAGTGAGAAAATTCGGTTATTAAGTCTACTGCATAAGAAAAATCTGCTTAGATGGGCTAAAGAACATAGACAATGGACACCTCAACAATGGTGTGCAATACAATGGAGTGATGAGGCCCGATTCGAAGTTTGTGTTGGTGACAGTCGCAGTAGAGTTATTCGCAAAAAAATGAAGCATTCCATGTTGACTGTCTGATGAGAAAAGTGAAATTTCCAGCATCCATTATGGTCTGGGGCAGTATGTCATCAAAAGGAGTAGGAAAACTTCATTTTATTGATGGCAATATGGATACAAACAAATATTTGGCAATTTTAGAAGAAAAGCTTTTACCAGTGATGGATAAATGTTTGACATCCGGCCAAGATTTTGTGTTTCAGCAAGATGGTGCAGCGTGCCATACCTCAATAAAGGCTGTAAAATGGACGGAAGGGAAGGGAAGGGTTTTTAGCAGTCCAGATCTGTCACCTATTGCAACTTTGTGGCACGAGATGAAAAAGATTCTACGACAACATCCTGCTCGTACAATCACCGAACTGAGACAAAAGCTTCAAGAAATATGGGATTGTTTTACACCAAATTTTTGCCAAAACTTTGTTAACACTATGCCCCAAAGAATTTCACCCGTAATAAAAAATAAAGGTGATGTTACCCAATGGTAATCTTTGAATTGTTGCTTTGTTAACTTGTTTATTTGTTCAGATGTTCTATTAGTTATAGGTCTAAGTGATTTCAAATATATATTTTTTACGACTAGAGTGTATCTAAAAAGTTTTTGAGAAAATAAATTGTTTTGGAAGTAAATAGTTTCGTCATGTTTAGTTTATAAAGGCATATTTTGCTACAAATCTTGAAGTGGGCCAACTGAAGTGGGAAGGGGCTCGTAGTGTTACAACCTTAGAGAGATTCTTGCTCATTTTCAGACCTCCAACAAAAGCGTAGGAAGTATACAGTCAATCTACTTGACGCTATTTTTAGATATACAGTGCTTTTCAAAAAGATTCCTCTAGCTATTTTTTGATCGGGGTCAAGACAGCAAGTTGAAATTGTCGGATATTTTGAAAGAAGCAAATTTATACTCTTCGGTTTTCGGTAAAAAAATGTTCCTATTCAGCTGTTTTTTAATCACCTCTATGAGAAAAAAGTACGAAACGATCTAAGTAATTAATAAATAAATATGTATCTTTGTTCCAGATATAATGGATTTTTACCTCAAGGCGACAAGGGGCGCAGGCGTAGCAAATTCGTCTTCTACAAACGGACGGTGGCGAACGGAGTGAAAAGACTGAGGCACTACGTGGTGAGGACACCTCATTCCTCACAGGCCATATTGGATGCCAACCAACACTCTATATCGTACACATTGTCCAGGAACCATGCCGTCATTGTGGAATACACCAGCGATGAGGACACGGATATGTTTCAGGTAAATTATTGTCGATGATTCTTAGTCCAGGATGCATCTTCACGTCCGTTCAAAATAATATTCTGAGTCTGCACGAAAGAGCGAATGAGGAATGAGACTGCAAATCAGTCGATTGTGATGTAATAACAGTCAAAAGCATAAATACCTGAACCATATACGCCAGGATTATTTATTTGACTTTATTTTCTAATTAAAAAACAAGACAATTCAATACCGGATATAAACTTGATGAACATTTATTATGAGGTCATTTTGTACAGCGCCATATAATGAAGCCTTTCTCCAATAAAGAAAGCGACTGCCAATAATAATAATCCATTATCACCTTATCTTCAGTATTTCAAAATATATTGACCAAGCTGTCACAGCATGAAATATCAACTTTTTTCCTGATTTCTCTCGATGCATATAATTGAATCTTTAGTACAGGGATAATACAAGTTTTAGAATTCATGAAACTGCCAGTACATCAGTCTGGGTTAAGAAAATCATACAGTACTAAAACTGCTCTTCTTAATTCAGTGGACATCATCAGGGCCCTTGATAAAATATGTGTCGCCTTAGTTTCACTGGATTTCTCCAAGGCGTTTGATAGAATTGATCACGCACTGATGTGTGCTAAGCTAAAATTTTATGGTTTTGATAAAATAGCACTGCAGTTTTTTAAATCATACCTAACCCACCGTTCTCAGCGCGTCTCACTTTCTGGAGTTTTGTCAAATGAGCACTTTATCACTTCGGGTGTGCCTCAGGGCTCAATTTTTGGACCGTTGTTATTTTTAATTTATGTAGCCGATATTGCTAAGTCCATTCAAAATTCACAGCTACAGTCTTATGCGGATGACACTCAACTGCTTTACTTCTTTTATCCTGAGAACCTCCAGACTGCTACTATGGAAATTAACGAGGACATTGACTCTATTTGCACCTACTCAGCCAATAACAACCTAACCATTAATGCTTCTAAATCTTCTGCTGTGCCGTTTTGTCCAAATCACAGAAGAGCCGAAGTCAAATCTTCCTTGAGAAAGTGTCAAGTGTCTAGGTGTGTTTATTGATGAAAACGTGCGGCTTCGTGAACATTTAAATAACCTCTTACAAATAAGTTACATCCGTCTGAGAACTCTGTATGCGAACAAAAATTTGCTGAACTTTAAAGTGCGAAAAAAGTTGTGTGAATCTTTTGTGTTATCTATTTTTAATTATTGCAATCTAGTTTATCATCCTTGTTTGGATGTTGCAAGTCGTAACAGAATATCTGTAGTACAAAATAACTGCGTACGATTCATATTTAGTTTAAGAAAATTTGATCATGTTTCTTTAATAGATTTGTTAAAGTTTACAGATTTAGTTAAATACAACTATCTAACCTTTATACATAAGTTACTTGTCTCTGGAACTCCAATTTCACTGGACAACAAATTTTAGTTTTTTAATTGTATCTTGTGGGAAAAGTGCACTTCTTTGTTAATTTTGGGGCGCTGAATCCAAAAATGACAATGAAATAAAAAAATTAGTTGCGGTTTAGAAAAAAACTTTTTATTTTTAAGGATATATTAAAAAAAGTAACAAGATTCATATACTTATAAGAATCACTATATGCGCTGTCTTTTTGCTGTTCTTTTATGGATCGTTTCTGGAGCATCTCTAACAAGAGTCCAACAGTAGTCTGCAAGCATGGAAGGATTCCACTTTCCCTGGTACCTTTTTTCCATTGTTGAAATATCCTGATGAAAACGTTCGCCGTGCTCATCACTTACGGCTCCGCAATTGTCAGGAAAAAAGTCCAGGTGTGAGTGTAGGAAATGTATCTTAAGAGACATATTACAGCCCATCTTTTGATACGATGACAGCATATTTTTGACAAGGGTTTTATAGTTGTCAGCTTTTCTATTTCCCAAAAAATTAGTGACCACCAGACGGGAATCATTCCAAGCAGTTTTTTCAATACCTGTTAAAGTGTTTTCAAACTGTGTATCTTTCAAAATATTTCGAATCTGTGGCCCAACAAAAATACCTTCTTTAACCTTTGCCTCACTTAGTCTTGAAAATTTCTGACGCAGGTATTGAAAAGCTGACCCATCTCTATCTAATGCCTTGACAAAGTTTTTCATTAGGCCCAACTTGATATGCAGTGGTGGTAATAAATTTTTTTTCGAATCTACTAATGGCATATGCTGTACATTTTTTTGACCTGGCTCTAGGAATTGACGAACAGGCCAGTTTTGTCTGGTGTAATGAAGTGCCTTTGCACGACTGTCCCATTCACACAAAAAACAGCAAAACTTTGTGTAGCCTAGCTGCAGCCCAAGTAAAAGTGCAACAACTTTCAAATCGCCACAAATATGCCATTGGTGCTCATCGTATTTTATGCATGTCAATAGGTACTTCATATTGTCATATGATTCTTTCATGTGAACTGCATACCCTACAGGAAGAGATGGTAAAATACTTCCAATATGCAATAACACTGCCTTTAAACTCAATGTCTATAAACAATCTCCATTCTTCTGGGTTATAGTTTATATTTAAAGACGCCAGTAAGCCGTTAATGTTACTGCAGAAAACCAAGTTATTCTCCATATTGAAAAATGGTTCTAAGTCTTTGTGGCGTTTACGAAAAATACATACCGAAACATAGTCTTCTAACAAGTTCCACTGCTGCAGTCTTGATCCAAGTAACTCTGCCTTACATTTTGGAAGTTCTAAATCTCTTACAAGATCATTTAATTCTGACTGTGTTATTTTGTGCGGTTGGTGGCATGACGTGCTCGGTATAAAATCAGGATCTCTTGACGTTGATGGCATATCTTCTTCCTGACGAATCACTCGATCGCCATGATCTGATTCGTTTTCTGATTCGCAAGTGTAGGATTCTCGGGGTTTTGGAATAGGATTTTCGTCACTGTGTGGCACAGGTCTCATCGCAGATGGTAGGTTTGGGTAGTTAATAATCGATTTTTTTTTTCTTGGACATACCTGTGGCTTGTCCAACACAAGGTACCGTGCAAAAGTAACAATCATTAATATGATTTGTAGGCTCTCTCCAAATCATTGGGACAGCAAAGCCCATAGACCGTTTTTTGCCATTTAACCAGCTCCTCAGACTTGAAGCACATGTATTAAAGCAGATGTGGGGTGTCCACTGTTTGTCTTGATCACCTAGTTTACAACCGAAATAAAGCTGATATGCCAAAAGTCACATCACCACACACGTAACAAAACTGATCTGGATTGTTTACACACTTTCAAGACATCTTGCATGAACGCTGTCAGCCAACTGAGGAAAAAATGGCTAATGTAAAACAATATAATGTACACGTATGTATAACGTCACACAATCATGCCGATTACATCATCTTTCCTTGCCGAATATAAAAATGTAGCACGTGCATTCTTGTGAATTACAGTATATTAACACTGTCACAGCAGGAACACATATAATTACCGTATCTCTAAAACTTGAACTAGTATTGAAAAAATAAGTTTCATTCCGGTTTTAGCACATTAAAAATAGTAATATTTTGTTGATTTTATTTAGGATATTTTTTGGCTGTTGATCAGTGATTATTTACGTGAAAAACTAATTTTTAGGTATAATGTTCATCAACGACATATCCGTAACACATTCGCTTTAACAGTGCCACTTCATAGTTCATCTGTTTTTAACAGGTCCTTCTCATATAATGCATGCATGTTGTACAATAGCTTAGATTACAGAACAAAAAGCATGCCGCTGTATAGTTTTAAAAAACACTTAAAAGCTCTTCTGCTCAATGGTGCTTCTTAAAGGTTGTTTTCTCCAGCATTATATTTTTAAGCTAATTTTTATTTAGGTTGTGATCAGTTACATGGGCATTTTCCTCCTTTTATTTTCTTTACAGCTGTACTTTTTACCATCTATTATTCTTATTCAGTAAATGGTTAAGTGTAAGGATAGCTGCCATAGCTAAACTTCGCCATTAAGCTGCTCACTAATCTAATTATAGATAATAATATATGCATTATCTGTAATTTGTTTTTTCTAATAAAAGACGGTTTATTATTATTATTGCATTAGTCGCCAGCGCTTGAAATCTTGATTTTGATGAGCTATGCCAACGAGTAAAGTTTTTTTATCGTTAAACGTAATAATATGGTAGTGGTTTTCTTATTTTGGTTCGTAACGATCACTTTTTTGTCACGCTTTGAAACTTGACAAACTTACACCGTTGATTATATTTATTCCACCTGAAAGAATACAATATAAAAATCAGAACAGAACATTTACCTAATTATCGTAGAATAATAACATGACCATGCTTTGGCGCTCATGAAAATTACAAGCGTTAAATCCGGAACTAAACTAATTTTCACTTTTTCAATATAAAGTAGTTTCAAATCAGTGTTCATTCTTCTTTTTAAATAAAATGCGTCAAGTAGGTTGACTCTGCACTTTCCACGCAACATCGTCATCAATCAGTTCATAAAGGATCATATTCAGCACTATAGAAATATCGTGGATAAAGGATAGTTGCCATGCTTCCCTACATTGTCCGAGAGACCAGGCCTAGACTATGCTGATGAGTTTTTTTTTTTGAAATAATTTATTTAAACACAATAATACAAAAAGTATAACCAGTTTTAACAATAATTCCCTAATCAGTGTTTGTAAACACTGGCCCCGAGAATAACAAGACAATAATTAATATCCATGAACTACAGGTACACTGCAATGTTGCTCATAATTTCAACAAATAAATTCATTAACATTTTTACAATCTTTCAATTCTCTAACAAAACTTCTATAGTTATTTGAATCTTTTATACAATGAGGTAAATTATTAAATTTCTTAATTGCGTCTGTGATCGGATTTTTTAAACCTATGTTAGTTCTTGTGGAAATTTGATAAACATTATTTAGTGATCTTGTTTGGTGATCATGCACGTTATGGTAGAACCTAATATTTATGTTACTTTTTAGTAGATTATTTATAATTTTATAAACAAGTTTACATTGTTCCACCTCCAATAACACTCTTAATTTGTTTAAATTTAAATTTGAATAAAGTGTATTAGAACTTGCAATCAAAATTAAACAATATTTTCAGAACTTTATTTTGTAAAACTTGAGCTTTATTAAAATTAACTTCACCGCACATACCCCATACTGGCAAGAGGTACCTAAAATGTGTAAGAAAGAAGGCATTATAAATTTGAAATTTGCTTTTGTTGGACAAATAATAATAATAATAATAATATTTATTTACTCTAAAATACAGGGAACATGAAACGAGTAAATAAATATAATATATCCATAGGAGGACAACGCCTGTGCATGGATCATATGTATGTTGAATTGCAAAATATAATAAAATAGAGAGAAAAAAGAAATTATTGGTAAGAATGGTAGAGCATTTATTGTGTAATATTTGAGATTATTTTATTAATTTGATTTCTCCCAATCGTGTTAATAAATTTTTTTAATTTTTTTTTTGAAGCCTAATGTATTGCGTAATTGTTTTAAATTATTTGGTAAATGTTCGTACAATTTTGGAGCTATATACAGGTGACATCGTTTCATTAGGGATTTGTTTGGTTTAGGAACATTTTTTGCGCGTAATTTATATCTGGTTTTATGATTATGTTTAATTATATCGTGTTCACTAATAGTTTTGTGATAATGAGTGATGGTATGTAAGAAGTAAAGTTGTTTAGTATCATATACTTGTGCATCATTATATAAGTCATTAGTTGGGTATAATTTTGATTTGCCTAACATAGATTTTAAAATTCTTCTTTGAAGTACATCTAAATCGTTAAAGTATGTCGTGCATGCAGCACCCCACACTACTATACCATATGTTATGTGTGGCTCGACTAAAGCTTGATATATTATTCGTAGATAATATTCAGTTAATATACCGGTTAGAAATTTTATTTTATATGCTATGAATCTAATTTTCTTTAGTATGTGAGAAATATGTACATCCCATCTCAAGTGGGGATCTAGATAAATTCCTAAATATTTTGTATCATTAACTCTATTGATTTTTATATTTTTATCATTTACCTTAAACCGAAGGTGGTTATATTTTGGTAGATGATTAGATAGTGATGAAAATGGTAAAAAATGAGTTTTAGTAAAGTTAATTGTTAATTTTCGGTTATTAAACCACTGAATAATTTTGCAAAAGTCATTTTGGATAATATCTTTTAAGTCGTTCCAATCCTTACCTTTATAGAGTATAGCAGTATCGTCTGCAAAACTGACTATTTTACCAGTACTGTTAATTTTGAATATATCGTTTAAATAAATATTGAATAACAGAGGACCCAAAATTGTACCTTGTGGAACACCACATTTAACAAACATTTCTTTACTATACGAGCTTAATAATTTTACTGATTGCGGTCTATTTGATAAATAATTTTCCATTAAAGTATACATCTTTCCACGAAAACCTATTCTTTCTAAGATTTCCAAAAGTATATTGTGGTTAACTGAGTCAAACGCTTTTTGTAAGTCCACAAATACGCATATCGATGGTACTTTTCCATCTATATTTTGGGTTATTTCATCTACTATACTTAATACCCCATCTGTTGTAGATTTGCCCGCTATAAAACCATATTGATTTGAATTTAGAATTTTGAATTTATTAAGAAAATTAATCATTTTATTAAGGAGTAATTTCTCAAAAACTTTAGCTAAACTTGATATAAGTGAAGGTCGATAGTTAGTGACGTCCGTATTATCATTAGATTTATAGATAGGTATGATGATTGCTGTCTTGAAAGCTGATGGAAATACTCCAGATTGGAAGGATTTGTTAATGATATAAGCAAGTGGTTCTGTTATTTGTTTGGCCAGTATCTTTAGATGTTCAGCTCTAATTTCGTCAACTCCAGGGCTTTTTTTATTTTTTAGAGTCATAATGGCATTGAAAACATCCTGATAGTCTACTTCAGTTAATACAAATGAATTATTCAGTCTTGTTTCATGCAGATGAATATCAGCATTTTGTTTGATATTATTTGCTAAGTTTCCTCCTATATTCGTGAAAAATTCTATGAACTCATCACATATTTGCTGAATATTGTCTGTTTTCTGTCCTGTTTTTGTTTTCATTTCATTAATATTGTTTTTTGAATAGGATGACTTATTGAATATATCATTGACAGTGGACCATAGGTGTCTAGAGTCATGTGAATTATTATTCAATTGTTTTATATAGTAATTTTTTTTTGCTTTTCTCAAAAGTTCTATAAATTTGTTTTTATACTGATTATAATGATCTATATTTTCTTTCGTGGGTAAATATTTCATGATTTTATACAGTCTTTCTTTTTCGTTTGCAGATTTTATTAGTCCTTTGGTCATCCAATCATTTCTGCTTTTTTCCTTGTGACTTATTTTAACCTTATTAGTACTAACTTCAATTACTTTTTGAATTTTGTGTATTAATAAATTTGTAGCTTCGTCTAAAGAATTTGTTAAAAAAATGTCGTCCCACGATTCCGTTTGTGCGTTAAATATTAATTTTGAGTTGTCAGTGAAATATTTGTATTCAAGGTTCCTTTCATTTTTTGCCCTTGGGCAGTTCTGGTTTTTATTTTGTGAAGATATCAATAATACAATGGAATAATAATAAATAATCTCGACTCTTATAAATATAAGGCAGATAGCATTGAAACTATTTTATCACAAATTCCATTTACGTAAAGTGACCAATTTAAACTTTCATCTATCAGTAATCCCAAATATTTAATACTTGACACTTTTTCTAGCGCTATATTATTTATGTTAATATTTAGATTATTGCTAACTATCTTATTTTTTAGTTTAAATATAATGTATTTTGTTTTTTCAATGTTAATTTTTAATCTATTCGAAAACAGCCATTTAAGATAACTATTCAGGTCATCATTAATAAGATTCGTTAAAGCAATTTCGTCTGTTCCAGTATATACCAGTACAGTGTCATCTGCAAAGGTAAAATATCTTCCCCTCAGATTGGCCAACTTGAGATTCAGTACATAAAGACTGTATAACAGAGGTCCAAGAACTGACCCCTGTGGTACTCCATAGGTGCTAGATAACCATTCACTATCAATGTCTCCAACCTTTATGTACTGTTTTCTGTCATATAAATAAGACTTAATCAAGCTGTACGAAACACCTCTAAATCCCATTTTAAACAATTTATCTAAAAGAATGTCTACGCTTACTACGTCAAAAGCTTTTTTTAGGTCAATGAAAACAGCTACAACTATTTGTTGTTTATCTAGAGCCATTGAAATGTAGTCCACAAAATCAACAACCGCACTAAGTGTGCTACTGTTCGTTATAAAACCATATTGAAATTCATTGTTGCCAAAAAAGCACGAAACAGCTGCATGAGCATCGCTGGGAGAAGTGTATAGAGTTTCAAGGAGACTATGTTGAAAAATAAAACAAAAATCAGAAGAAATGTCTTGTATCTTTTTTAGGTCGGAAACTTTTCCGTCCACCCTCGTATAACAGATATTAGACGGATAAGTCCGAATAATAAAAAAATCTTTTTTGTTCGCAGATCGGCAGATCATCTGAATCGCCTATCGACTTTGTGGTCATGGATACTATACCAGGCGATAAAACAGGCGAAACTAAAGTCAATCAAAGTACGATATCGAGATTCGCCTGTAGGATATTATGTGATAGAAACAATCCCAAGATAGCTAGGATATACGCCGCGGGATTCGATACGTCTAAAAATATATTTCTAGGGGTAAGTAAACGGCATCCAATCTCCATCAATGCACTTAATTACGTATAAGTGCCGCCGGTTCAAAATTAGCCTTTCATTATATCGTGTTGTTGGCTTTCAAGTTAAATTGCTTGGAGTTGGTTTGGATCGAACTATACAGGCCGTAGAATATGTGGAAATGAGATATCTGATTCCTCCCAAAAGACGTTACCGAAAAAATATCAGAGTAGCTTTTGAGCAATTCTATATTTCTCCAGTCAAGACTTTCTTGTTATACAGGGTGGCCCAACGAAAAGTTCGCACCTCCATTTTTTCCTCTCCTGGTATTTTTGGGAAAAATGCTCGGACACATCAATTTTGATTTCTATGGGGACGTATTTTCATCTATAGCCGTACAATACAGGGTGATCCAAAAATAAGATATTAAACTGTATCCATCGAAGAAACAAAGTAAAATCAAACATATACACCCGTATTGCACGTGATCAAGAACTTAACCGTAGGAGACGCTACAGGGCCGTATCAAGCTATTGTGACTGATCTATCAAAAAATGTCGTACAAGATATGTGTTGCTGTAAATTCTATCAAAAGCATAGTAAATTATCAGGAATATACCACGCCTTTCTAATCATATTTCGACATTAGGAATCAGTGCAAAAAATTCTGTATTCACCATTTCAGCAAAATGTTACTAAAACGCACACGAAAAAAACTTGTGGACCATCGCAATTGAAATTGTTCATATTTTATTATTAACTTACATATATACCCAATAATATTTACAAATCAACCTTCTATTCACAATGCAGAGCAAATTTTTTGAGCAAATAGAAACTACAGACGTAGTAGTAGTAGTACAAAAGTTTATTACAGACTCCATAAAGTTTGTTAGTTTGATTGCTATTAAAATTTACATGAGAAATAGGAAGAAGGTCAAAATGGCACTATTATGCTTTGGAACTCCTAAATTAACCCTAATTTTGTGTAATTATAAATTTGGAATTTCCACATTAATAACTAGAAACTTACACTTTGATTGCAGTCTATAATGAACTTACCTGTCTTGCCAAAAAAGCCCGTTAAACTGCCAGTCTTAATGGTATCAATCGATTTATATGCTTTATTCCGAGGAGCTTGAATCATCAGAATTGTTGATGTCAATTATAAGGGGTTCAACTAGGGTGTCAATGATATTGTCCATATCCCACATTTTGGTTTCAACCTTCTCTTGGACATGGTCAATACATGTTCTCCATTTTGCTGGCGTAATTCTATCGACAAGCAACATCAAACAGTTTTTTAACGTCAGAAAACTTAAAAGTGCTGTTATTTGATGCCACGTATTGCTTGATGTCGGCCCAAATCAACTCGATAGGATTCAGTTCGCAGTGATAGGGAGGCAGCCTGAGAATCGTTTTATTTTGGTTTTTGGCCATTTCGTCAACAATTTTTAAATCATATTTATACTTATGTCGCTTGACTATATTTATCAGCTCAGCTATGACCATTGTTTGGTCGAAGTCGATCTTCTTTGAGACAAGCCACTGTTGAATGTCTGCCTTTTTGGTGGCCATTGTTGGAATTTTTTCCAATTTTCTGGAGTGGTACGGGGCATTATCCATCACAATAATTGCGTTATCATCAAGTGTCGGCAAAATTTTTTTGAACCAATTTTCAAATGAGTTACCATCCATTTCTTCGTGATAGTCTCCAGTTTTTTTGGATTCAAATGCCCACAATGCTTCAGGAACAAATCCATCTACGCTACCTATGTGGCAAATGATCAGGCGTTTTCCCTTGCCTGAAAGTAATTAGTTATTTTACTTCTCAGCGAGCGCACTAAATGACGAAATTAAGCAACTTACTCTTTTTAGGTTAGTGTAGGATAGGGTCTTAGATTAGTTTTTGGGTGAAGGAAATACTCAGAAACTTGGATGAGATAGCAAAACTGAGTTCGGAGCTTCCAAATCATTGATTCGATCAGAAAATGAATTATCTGCATCCAAAAAGTTCATATACTTCGAAACTTACCTGCAGGATTTTTCAATCCCGTCGAAAGGCCATCTAAAAAAGCCTGCCTTGAGGACCTCACAGATCTGTCTACCCAAACCTTTCCCTGAGTATGCCCCGCGTTCACCCATGTTTCGTCTAAATAATAAATTTTTCTTCCTTCAGCGCGGAATTGCCAAATTTTTCTAAGGTATTCTCTCCTCCAGATAACAATTTCCTCCTTTTCTATCAATAAACTATTCCTTCCTCTTTTCAAAAATCGAAAGTCTAGTTCTTTCAACAGCTTATGGAACGTAGATCTTTTAAAATTTGGCAGGTCCTCATCATCATTCACTTGCTTCAATATTTTATCTATTGTAGGTATTTCATTCCTGAAGAAAAAGTGATGTACTTTTCTTCTAATGGCACTTTTGTCAAAGTCATCTATTTTTTCGATGATTTTTTTTCTCGCTGGATATGTTTTTGGCTCAGATAGTGAGTGATTTTGTCTATATTCCTTCAAGATTTTGTAAACACTTGATCGACCTACTCCAGAAATTTCAGCAACCTTACATACGATATTTTCTATAGCCAATCCACTATTCTCTTGCATCTGGTTCTTGTAGATATTTAGAATAATTTGTTTTTCACCTGCGCTAAGATGAAGCTTTTTAGCCCTTTTTCTGGGTGACGTTAAGCTGATTTCAACCACTTCATCAGCTGTATCTGTGTCAGACATTTTAGACTAATATTAAATTTCCGCAAGAAAAATCAAGTCAAGACGTGCATAAAACGTTCGCGCTCATAAACGGGTATCCGTAACTGATTACAATCCTGTGCGTGGTGACGAACCATCAACGTGACGCTGAGAGTTCCCTCTACTATGCAGCGTTGCCAGGCTTAATGTCACAATGATCATGTTTTATTGTGAAAATTGTCAGAAATCGCCGAATGTTGAACAGAAACATTACAAGAAGTCTAACCTTGAAATGTGAGGCTACAAATCGATATTCTTATAGGGGGGAAGGGTAGGGAGCTGTTATGGTTCCTATTAACCTTGGTGAAAGTTGGAAACGGTAATATCATATATGGCATACATTCGGTTGAAGGTGTGTGCACGGAAAATAGATTGCGGATAGGATTTTAATAGATAAATCTGCACAAAAAAACACAAAAGGATATTTTTGTATTTCCCTGAAGAATATCTCAAGGTTATTTCAGATGTACTCATCGAAACTTTATGGAAGGATTATCGAAACCTTATTTTCAATTGCGATAGGGCCACATACCTCGACATCGCATTAATGTGAAAAATAAGACAATAGAAAAAATTCCCTCACTGATGCTATCTCTTAGGAAAAATTTAACTATAAACAGTTATTGCACGTATTGCACCAACAGATTGATTTGTGATCCATGCGAATGTGATCAACCACTCTGGCGAAAACTCGCCGAGCGTGGCAACCGTGCGACTTTGTCTGGAGGCTCGTCGCTACAAGCCAATCAGGAAGAGGCCGACAGAGCGCCATGGCTACCGATCACGCGTTGATCACGAATCAACCACTGTTTACGATTACTTTGTAGCTTCGTTAGATACACTTTAGATTACACTTGAAATTTTTAACTTTTAGATTTTCCATGCTGTTTTTAGTAACTTTTGTATAATAAAGTTTATACCTATCTTCAATCATTGTGAAGCTATTTGAGTTTATAATAAAATCGACTAACTTAATACTAATAATAATGGAATGCATGGCAAAAAATAATAATCATGGATACCAGCAAGAACATTTAGCATCAGTCAGTGTCATCGTATGTCATTGAAGAACTCTGTCTTTCATTTCAAATTGTTAAGCTACCTACCTAGTTGTGATAAATATTTAACAATGACTTATTCAGTTCAAGAAAGGGTAGAAATATCAAAACTGTATTACCAAAATGGGAGCATTGTAACAGCTAGTGTCTGGTTGTTACAATACCTTTGATAACAAATAATTATGGCCTCCTAGGACAGCAGAAAACGCCGCTAAGCTAAATGTCGTAATATTGTTTTTAAACAGTGCTAGTCAGCTTATGTAGTGAAAATGAATCGTTTTGGAAGTGATTCTTTGTAATATTGATCTGGCGATTGATATGTACCTCAGTTATATGACTAATCTCTCAGTGTATGCAATGTGCGCAATTTATTTAAAGAAAAACATAGGATATCAACTCTGACACACAACAAGATGAGTATGCAAGGCTCATCTCGTTTATTGCGCAGATATCCTGTTTCCCTTGGAACAGTTGGCGGTAGACCTAATTTCCACTTTGGAGACACTTGAGACCCACGTCACAACACTGAGAGACAATCGAACCCTATAGTGTAGTAGCTAAACCGAATAGAGCTCTGCATGAAGCTGTGAACGCGTAGACATGCCGCTGCGGCGATACGGTACAGCCACGCCCTTTCCAGTTCCCACTCCGCGCATTTGCTACCGGTCAACGTAAACATCGAGCCGCCTCGAGAGCAGACGCGCGGAGTGGGAGCTGGAAAGGGGCGTGGCTGTACTACCCGGCCGTACCGTATCGCCGCAGCGAGGTACAGCATACATCAAGCTTCAGTCTCTCGGCAACCGCCGGCGCAGCGGAATGTCCACGCGTGCAAAGCTCCGTACAGAGCTCTATTCGGTTTAGCTACTTTGTTTCAGTAGTGGTGTTCACTATAGGGTACTCGATTGTCTCTCAGTGGTGCCTTGGTGTTGTGACGTGGGTGTCAAGTGTATCCAAAGTGAAAATTAGGTCTACTTCCAACTCGTCTGAAGGAAACAGGATATCTGTGCAGGAAACTAGGTGAGCCTCGCATACTCATCTACTTGTGTGTTGGGGTTGACACCCTATGTTTTATTAAATAAATTGCGCACATTGCATACACTGAGAAATTAGTCATTTCGAAAAACTAAAATTTGGCCAAATCGTTTTTATTTCTGACTGACTTTATTTTAAGAAATGTCAAAAACTAAGGGCAGTATTTAGGCACTACATGATCGTGTTTTCAAAAAAGTGCTACACTGTATCTAATAGCAGCTTTTTCTACGACTTCAACGATGTATCACGTTACATTTGTTTTTTGCAAACAAATGCTTGATGTAAGATTGTGTGATTACTGAGTTTAACC